AACCATATGTTGTGTGTATATTCGTGTCAGCGTGTAGCGTTGTTATGATTTTGTACTTTTTATTGCGTGTAGTAAAGCACATTTCCATTTGGAGCACATTTGGGGAAATAAAATTCCGATTTTGTTCTGAAGCCTAGGGTGGGTAAGAGTCATGTTTGCTAAGCCCCAACTATAGTCATGTATATCTACCTCTCTTGGGAATATTACCGCTGCCATGTGTTTGATGTATAAAGATTTCCGCGAGCAAGTGTTAATCTATTACGCAAAGTTTACATGACCAGCGGGAGACCCGGAATCTTGAATCTGCTAAAACAATAGATCACACTATCTAAGAAAATGCTTGTGGTTATCAAATCTATGTATCAATGGTTATTCCAAACATCAAAAGGAAGCCCACGGGGTGAGTGTGGAATGTGTTCTCATCTGTCCCCACCTTGACAGACAGCGAAAGGGACACTGTCAGCTAAGTTTGAACGGATCGGTTCACAGCGCTATCCAATCGGAACTGAGATAGAGGTTGTGATTACAATTCAGAACCGAATGATACTTCAAAGACATGCAGCTGAATTCGCTAATAATATGCATCAAAGACATGAAGCCAAGTTCGCTACAAAAATGATTCATCGACATCCTGCCATGTTTTTAACTTGTCAAGCGACATTAATACATCACATTAAAGAAAAACCGGCCTTAAACGAGGAGAGGCAATGCTAATAAGAGTAATTAAGATAGTATCATTCTTATTTCGTTGTGCCCAGTACTTGTCTGAACTTCGCAAAATCCTCCGATCCTGTACCTTTTACCGTTGACAATATTCTACATGGAGGCGGTCGCGGTCGCGGTCGCCCTCTTGACTGTCACACAAAGTAATCATATGATACTTAAAGATTCAACATACATGGCAGGCATGTGTAACTTTCCCCAGGATGCAGGATGGGTAGGCGATTTTAAAACCCTACACCCTATGATGTAAATAAGCGGAGAAAACTAAGTCGCGGGCCGGAGGTTAAACATGACTGCTGTACAGCATAAGCACGAACTGCATATTCCTGTTATGTTATAAAACTAGATTGGGACCTCATTTGTTGATTCGGAAGTTATAATTGTGACAAAGTCCAATCTGTCCAATCTGTATAACATTTTTATGACCAATTTTAGTCAAACAGTTATATTTGCACAAGACACATATTTCAACTTAAGAAATCGTATTGAGTTTCATTGGAAACAAGGAGTGTGGCAATGTAAGGAAGTGAATAGAGTTGGTGTTCAGCATGGTGCATTTTTGAACCAGATGCTTTTGTGACTCCAACACAAAATTTTCTACAAATTTCTGAATTATAAGAATTTATCAGTGTAATAAAAACTTAATTTTAACACAAGTTAATTATATTCTGATATTATATTTTCATTAGAAACACACTTGATAATTTTTTTGCAGAATTTTAAATCAAACTTTAAATTTAAAAGCGAATTTAAAGTTAAATTAAATGTCCATATAAATTATAAACACAAAGCTGCAAAATAAATATTAGCAAAGTTGACCAATTAATGATGCTAAAATATAGCTCCAGGTACACTACACATTACTAAACAGTGTTGCTTTTCTCTCTTGAAGGCATAAGTAATGACTTTGGGAATACTATATGTCAGTGTGGTTGTTATTCTTATTGATAATTCAAATCTTCCGCCCTTTTTCCGAGTACCATGCTAGACCTGAAAAGAGAATTATTATCACTTACATCAGTAAAATGAAAAGTAATTAAGTGAAAAGATGGCCAGTTTTGTGATGTTAAAATGACGTCATGTATGCAAGCACATATAAAAACTTTTTCAACTAATTCTGTTCTAGTGAGTTCTGTTTTATTTTACTGTTGTATTAGAGGTACAGACGTTTCCTTGAATATTTTACTAGATGTGCATGTAACACATCTTAGTCTTGATCCTTTCCGGTTCACTATCTCCACGAAGATTCGACTTGATTTTTAATGGGGCTGGGGGATATATAATGATAGAGATAGGGTGAGTTGGTTGGTAGGGATGTAAGCTGGTTTGATGCAAAAATCTAAATTGCCATAGCGACTGGCAAACATAATATATTATGACATGTACAAAAGATCAAAATAAATTCAAAATAAATAAACAGCCATTTGGGTTTCACACTACAAGTGCGGCAATGAAACCTACTGAAGTTTGTTTTATATATGACGTTTGTAATATGAGTCTTTTGAGGATTCTATTAAGTACATATATGTCCAAGTCACTTGAAAATAATCGAATCACTTGTTTTATTTTTATAATAGTCATGTGATTTTGCTTGTAAGCCATTGATGAATTTGTATATCTCCAAAATGTATAGCATCGACCATTATTTATTCTTAATGGGTTGCGGCTTCGAATCCTGCCACAGCGGTCAGGCTCGGAAGACGTATTATGTCTCTGAGAAAGGCACTTTACTCACGTTGCCTCAGCATTCAGTAGTCTTTAAAGTGATGATGTGCTTTTAAAAACAGGCAGTCAATTTATTAACGAACTGCAAAAATCGTTTCGAGTCCAGCAATCAATCCAATTGAATCCAATAAACATCTGGTGGCTAGAATGTCCGAAAAATTGCGTGATTGTAAAAGTATACAAGGAAATCAGCCAGTGAAATCTGACCATCGATAACCAAAGTGTCGGAAATTTCTGCCAACATTTTTGCTATTGAGTGTAGAAATTGGAAATATGCACGGAATCTTTGCACCTTGCATTTTCTATTCAATTGAATGTTACTTTTGCTCACTCATTATTGCTTTTTCCTTGCCCATAAATTACCTTGTTTCATAATTAACCGTAAGTGAATAATTAATTATGTCTGTCTGTCTGTCTGTCTGCCTGCCTGCCTGCCTGCCTGCAGGCATGTATGTATGTATGTATGTATGTATGTATGTATGTATGTATGTATGTATGTATGTATGTATGTATGTATGTATGTATGTATGTATGTATGTATGTATGTATCATTATCTCCTACTCTAATGTGATTCGAAACGGAAACATATATCATTACGTCGTCAAATACAGAACATAAAATCAACACATATATGTAAACACCATATAGCAATGAAATTCATACTGTCAGGATCATATTTCGTTCACGTTGCTTGATTTTAGATATTACGGTATTAATACATACACAATAACTGATAGTAGTCATAGCAACATGTAAAATATGATCATATTTGAAATGCAAGTCGTGTAGAGATATATCAACAAAATAGAGTACTTGTTGGTTCAAATTAGTTTTTAATATAATAATAATAAATTTCTTCGGTTAGAAAATTACATGAAGAAAGCAAGTATTACTAATTAAAAAAATTAAGCAAAGCCAACCATAGGAGTCCACAAGAACATAGGAAAAAATCGACATTAATAAATGACACGAAAGACTTGAATTTAAAATTCTTTAAGTGTTCGAAGTCTGTTATGTGGGTTAAGGCACAGAAGCTACGGTGACTTATAGTAGGTGTGAAAAGTATACTTCTCTTAGTGGATTACGTCCCTTGCGTTAAATATCTTTCTCTGGGTGAAAATCGTGCGTGTTGATAACTACATCATACTTAATAATTTAAACTGTATTTGGTGCGATATTTTGGCCTTTGTACAGTGGCCTTGGTGCACAGTGTAAAAAACTTTGTTCAATACGTTGGAGGAAAATGTACCTATGAAGTTAAAACTAACAGCTTCTGATCATATGAACACTGTCTGGTTCGTTTGGCCTTGATTTAGCTTAGTTTTCAATATTTTAAAATGGAAATAATGTTTGATCCAGTCAACATGCTCCTGTATTAATACCCTAAAACAGTGCTCTAAATTATACAAAGGGATCAAAACAACCTTCTAGCGGCGATGGGAGTATTTCAGAGGAGTACGCTAGGACCATATCACCAAAAATCGGAAAAGTAAATAGGAAATATTATAGTAGCAGTTCCCGACAATGTGCCTTATTATCAATTGACGTACAGTCGGTATCATATGCAGTCATAACGTTCATTATGGGCGACTTGACAGAGATAACTAATTTTTGGCGAAAACATGCCCAATTTATTTTCCAAGTATGAACATACCAGAGAACTTTCTTTTACGTAATTTATGCCAATAATTGCAAAACGGTGTCATAATGTTCTGGGTACGGTTCTATAACGCCAACGCATTTTCCACCAATTTGCACCGTATCACTCCACCGAAGTCAAGATGACACGCAGTTATAAAGAAAAGCTACGATGTGTAAAAAGTGGCACAAACTATTTTGTTACCCACAATATACGAACAACGTCACAATGACGCACATCTAAGTTGTCATGCATAGTATGATTATTGATCCCTCGTTTTTTAATTGATTTCAGTGTATGATTAGATGAAGGTAGTATGCAGTCGATGTGCTAATGAATTAATTCACTGAGATAATGGACTAAAGTGTAAATGATCCAAGTTTTAAAATGATATTATTAGAAGTGTGCCTAGATTTGTCTCGGCCTGCTAGACTGCAAATATGCATATAAATTTTGCATATAACTGTCTGGGGAAAATAGAACAAAACCTAATGGCGAAAAAGGTAATAGTTTCAGCTATTTAAGTGTGTGTGTGTGTGTGTGTGTGTGTGTGTGTGTGTGTGTGTGTTTTAAATTTATCGATGGCAGAGAACCAGTGCTCATAAATGTAGAGTTAAAAAAAATCGTCGTTTTGGGCCATTTCTATGATTTTATTGATCTTTGAGGACATTTTTATTGCACGAAAAGACATTGTAATGAAAATTTGATCCCACTCAACCAAACATTGACGTATTATCTGGTATTGTTCATTCATTTTCATGACTTTTCTATTACAGGACTACCCCTACCCACACAAACATGCGAACAGAGAAAGATGCGATTTTTCAATACTGGTTGAGTTTATGTGCTGTCTTTGTGACGTTAACTCCCTTCTCATCAAAAACAGATAACTCCTTCTACTACAATTACCGCTCTGGTGGCCTAGTGGTTAGAGCGTGTCCGTCTCAGATGCGGGAGGTCGTGGGTTCGAATCCCGGTCTAGTCATATCAAAGACTTACTAAATGGTACTAACAGCTGCCTCGCTCGACGCTCAGCATTAAGAGGTTAGTGTTAGGACTGGTCGGCCGGGTTTCAGGATATTGTGACTGGGCATGATGCCCCAGTGCTAGACATCAATATAAACTGCCACACTGCAGACATCATAGCGATATGACTGAACAATTGTTAAAGCTACGTTAAAAATCATAATCACATCACATTATATCACTTTCTACTACAATCAGGTGATGTCAATAAAACTGAGGACCTGTTAAATACTAATGGGGTATTTGTGGAAATTAATTTTGGATGGATTGCTAGAGTCGTAAAAAGCAATGTTTGTAGCATTAGGTATCAAAACAGATATACTAACATTAGTGTCCAGCCCTTTGTCGTCCTATGCATGTTAAACTTAACACAGCGAACCAACATTCGTCCTAGTTTGACTCATCTGGAAAGGAATCCAGCGAAGGCTTATTCAGTTTTCACCATATTAGTCACCCCATGACCATACCTTGTAAAAGTCACCGTAACACCCTTTCAGAGCATTTTGACGCACGGAATTAGTTTAGATATTGAATGCATGTCAAATGTAAATAGTATACTAACTAAAATTAAGTCATCACCTCTTTGGAGCTTCAGAACATAGTGACAAAACATCCATAAACTTGCCCCGCCCGGCAGTAACACAGCTGCATCGAACAACTTCAGCTTGCGGATGTTACGTTTTAATGTATCAAGAATAAATGGAGAGACTTGTACAACATAATCTCGAGTATGTACGAGTGAAGAAAGGCAGTCTTGAGAAGATAAACAGATAACCTATTAGACAGTGTCTTCTAATTGATCTGATGATAACGAAGCATCACGAGCATGAAGACAAACCTTTATCTGCCCTCCATCTCCATAAAGCGACCATGATGTACTGGTTGCAAACACACTCCTTAAATAAATCCCCCCCTATTAAATAACCACGTTTAATTACAAGCAAGCAAACTGGGATAAAGTCAGAAACGACTTTCATCTGCTCTCCAAGACTGATCATGATGTACTGATTAAAAACACCGTAGTTATACGAATTTCAGTCCGAAAACGCCGTAGTTATACGAATTTTAGTCCGAAAACGCCGAAAAGAACTCTTTCAGTTACATATAGGATATTCATTTGGCAGTTTTCCGGACAAGTATATCAAATTTAATTTTGAGAATGAACTAGCAGAACACTACTTAAATAATTTTAAAAGTGTCATGTTTCATAACTCCAAAAGAAGAAACTGAAAAGTAATCATGATACCACATGTGAAACCAGAGATTAAAAAAAAAAAAAAAAACTAATGAAGAAGAAAGGCCGAGCATACTGACGGAATAGGAAAAGCAACTTTGAGGAAGACAGGAAATAATTTCAAAATCTTAGCAGCATAGTAGGGAATAAACTACACGCATATTTCTACAGCTGTCTAAACAACCTACTCTGTATCCAGAAGTAGATAGTAATTCAAAACTTTTTGAGAAAGGTATAAAATCTAGAAATAAAGACACTACGTAAGCAAGAATTTTAAAACTTAAGTGCAGATCGACAGAAACTGCACTGGACATAGTAGCTATGTTGACTGTACAACCCATATCTGCTTTAACAACAGAGGCACCTATTATTTCAACAGCAGTCACCCCTCCCTCCCCACCCCCGCCATATGAACCCATACAAAACTGATACTTATTTTTATTAGAAGAGTTAAAAAATCGATTAGACATTTAAATTCCTTTTTAAAAAAAAAGTGCTACCGATTAAATGACAAAATTTGCCCTGAAAGGGACGGATGAAATAATAGTATCAGTCCTTATATTCATGATGAAATAATAGTATCAGTCCTTGTATTCATGATGAAATAATAGTATAAGTCCTTATATTCATGATAAAATAATAGCATCAGTCCTTATATTCATGATAAAATAATAGTATCAGTCCTTATATTCATGATGACATAAAAGTATCAGTCCTTATATTCATGATGAAATAATAGTATCAGTCCTTATATTCATGATGAAATAATAGTATCAGTCCTTATATTCATGATAAAATAATAGTATCAGTCCTTATATTCATAATGAAATAATAGTATCAGTCCTTATATTCATGATGAAATAATAGTATCAATCCTTGTGTTCATGATGAAATAATAGCATCAGTCCTTATATTCATGATAAAAAAATAGTATCAGTCCTTATATTCATGATAAAATAATAGTATCAGTCCTTATATTCATGATGAAATAAAAGTATCAGTCCTTATATTCATGATGAAATAAAAGTATCAGTCCTTATATTCATGATGAAATAATAGTATCAGTCCTTATACTCATGATGAAATAATAGTATCAGTCCCTATATTCATGATAAAATAATAGTATCAGTCCTTATATTCATGACGAAATAATAGTATCAGTCCTTATATTCATGATGAAATAATAGTATCAGTCCTTATATTCATGATGAAATAATAGTATAAGTCCTTATATTCATGATGAAATAATAGTATCAGTCCTTATATTCATGATGAAATAATAGTATCAATCCTTGTATTCATGATAAAATAATAGTATCAGTCCTTATATTCATGATGAAATAATAGCATCAGTCCTTATATTCATGATGAAATAATAGTATCCGTCCTTATATTCATGATGAAATAATAGTATCAGTCCTTATATTCATGATGAAATAATAGCATCAGTCCTTATATTCATGATGAAATAATAGCATCAGTCCTTATATTCATGATGAAATAATAGTATCAGTCCTTATATTCATGATGAAATAATATTATAAGTCCTTATATTCATGATGAAATAATAGTATCAGTCCTTATATTTATGATAAAATAATAGTATCAGTCCTTATATTCATGATGAAATAATAGTATCAGTCCTTATATTCATGATGAAATAATAGTATCAGTCCTTATATTCATGATGAAATAATAGTATCAGTCCTTATATTCATGATGAAATAATATTATAAGTCCTTATATTCATGATGAAATAATAGTATCAGTCCTTATATTCATGATAAAATAATAGTATCAGTCTTTATATTCATGATGAAATAATAGTATCAGTCCTTATATTCATGATAAAATAATAGTATCAGTCCTTATATTCATGATGAAATAATAGTATCAGTCCTTATATTCATGATGAAATAATAGTATCAGTCCTTATATTCATGATAAAATAATAGTATCAGTCCTTATATTCATGATAAAATAATAGCATCAGTCCTTTTATTCATGATGAAATAATAGCATCAGTCCTTGTATTCATGATAAAATAATAGTATCAGTCCTTATATTCATCATGAAATAATAGTATCCGTCCTTATATTCATGATAAAATAATAGTATCAGTCCTTATGTTCATGATGAAATAATAGCATCAGTCCTTAAATTCATGATGAAATAATAGTATCAGTCCTTGTATTCATGATAAAATAATAGCATCAGTCCTTATATTCATGATGAAATAATAGTATCAGTCCTTGTATTCATGATAAAATAATAGTATCAGTCCTTATATTCATGATGAAATAATAGTATCAGTCCTTATATTCATGATGAAATAATAGTATCAGTCCTTATATTCATGATGAAATAATAGTATCAGTCCTTATATTCATGATGAAATAATATTATAAGTCCTTATATTCATGATGAAATAATAGTATCAGTCCTTATATTCATGATAAAATAATAGTATCAGTCCTTATATTCATGATGAAATAATAGTATCAGTCCTTATATTCATGATAAAATAACAGTATCAGTCCTTATATTCATGATGAAATAATAGTATCAGTCCTTATATTCATGATGAAATAATAGTATCAGTCCTTATATTCATGATAAAATAATAGTATCTGTCCTTATATTCATGATAAAATAATAGCATCAGTCCTTATATTCATGATGAAATAATAGTATCAGTCCTTATATTCATCATGAAATAATAGTATCAGTCCTTATATTCATGATGAAATAATAGTATCAGTCCTTATATTCATGATAAAATAATAGTATCAGTCCTTATATTCATGATGAAATAATAACATCAGTCCTATATTCATGATGAAATAATAGTATCAATCCTTGTATTCATGATAAAATAATAGTATCAATCCTTATATTCATGATGAAATAATAGTATTAGTCCTTATATTCATGATGAAATAATGGTATCAGTCCTTATATTCATCATGAAATAAAAGTATCAGTCCTTATATTCATGATGAAATAATAGTATCAGTCCTTATATTCATGATAAAATAATAGTATCAGTCCTTATATTCATGATGAAATAATAACATCAGTCCTATATTCATGATGAAATAATAGTATCAATCCTTGTATTCATGATAAAATAATAGTATCAGTCCTTATATTCATGATGAAATAATAGTATCAGTCCTTATATTCATGATGAAATAATAGTATCAGTCCTTATATTCATGATGAAATAATAGTATCAGTCCTTATATTCATGATAAAATAATAGTATCAGTCCTTATATTCATGATGAAATAATAACATCAGTCCTATATTCATGATGAAATAATAGTATCAATCCTTGTATTCATGATAAAATAATAGTATCAGTCCTTATATTCATGATGAAATAATAGTATTAGTCCTTATATTCATGATGAAATAATGGTATCAGTCCTTATATTCATGATAAAATAATAGTATCAGTCCTTATATTCATGATGAAATAATAGTATCAGTCCTTATATTCATGATGAAATAATAGTATCAGTCCTTTTATTCATGATGAAATAATAGTATCAGTCCTTATATTCATGATGAAATAATATTATCAGTCCTTATATTCATGATGAAATAATAGTATCAGTCCTTATATTCATGATAAAATAATAGTATCTGTCCTTATATTCATGATAAAATAATAGCATCAGTCCTTATATTCATGATGAAATAATAGTATCAGTCCTTATA